CGGCATGTAATAACCCTAATAATCCCGACGATATTCTTGCGACTAACGGTTGTATAATATATTCTTATAGAGTTTATGCAGAACATTATTACATATTAACATTGAATAACGTAACAACATTATATATGCGACGGCTGATACAATATACATTGGCGCACCAGAGGGTGCATGTGTGTGTGTGCGTGTGTGATTCCATGGTTGCTTTAAATTTTTAATAAAATATTAGTTAATCTCCAAACACCAAAATTGTTTGAAAACAAACCTGGATAAATCCGAATGTCACGTTAAGTTTTATTAACTGTCAAGGAAAAAGGATAATCAACCGTAACTCATTAAAATCCAGTAATACAAGCCGCATTAAGGTATAATGAATAAGAATCTCGACAAAGACTCGATCAACTAAACTGGTTGTTACATTAAGGTATTAATATAGATCCAATTATTATAAGCTTACAAAGGTCTTCCTTTCTCAGTTGTCACCAGGATATTATAAAGCCTAACTTAATTAGGATTACCCTTCACTCATCCTGTTAGGTCCTTGTCAATATCAGGCGTAGCTCACACTGAGACAAATATTCTTTTTTCTTCTTTTCCTTTGCTTACTCACCCCTTTTTCTTTTTCCTTTTCTAAAGAATGCCATCGATCTGTTGTTGTGTATACCTTTGAAGGAAAGCACATAATTGTAATAAAAATATTGAATTTATTTTTGCTTCTAATACCCAACCATTCATATCGTACGAGGTGTGAGTATCGCATGTGAAAATCCGAGATGGGCATTCGGAGCGTTGAGAAACGATAACGATCACAGTGAGATCAGTGGTGGGGGAAGCGATGTGTTTACGTTTGGAAGATAGAGACGCGGATCATAAAAACGATGTCGCGATAGAGGTAGGCAGTTAGTCGCTGTTGGACGCCCGAAAGAGACGTGCCATCGCCACTCGTGCAGAAGGTTGGTGAGTGTTGATCAAATCATTGTTTTCTAATGTTCATCGGGTGGCCGGGGTCGAGCATTGTTCCCTTACACAATTAGTTGATTCCTCTTGATTCCGAATACCGGTGTCGTCGTGCGTTTCCTCTTCGACACCGGTCCGATTCAGATGTTTTCTTGGTCGCCAAACCAAGCTCGCCGTGCGTTTTCCCGGGGGGCCCGGTGTGACCTAAATAATCTGAGCCAGCAGCTGAGAGGGACATTTCGTGCGCTTTCCCTTCATGTCCATTGTACCTCTTGATGCTGGATGGTGAGCTTCAGGCTGGGATACGTTGGTGATTTCCTCGTACGCTTTCCCTTGGAGATCTCCGTCTGCCCACCAGCGGTTCGAGTGTGCGCATACCCATTCGGACCGGCATTTTTAATTAATTATCGCGTGAAGTAATTGCGCGAAAGTCTGACTCGAAGGTGTTCTGCCACCGAGTGGTGCGTCTCCGTATCTCGCTCGACCTCCACCGACCGGCGTCTGAATTATATTATCGTTCTGCTATCTATTGTTTTTTTTTGTGTTTACTACCTCGAACTGCTCGTCTATTCATTCGGCTCTTAGTGTGTACGCATAAGGCGAGTAAACAAAAGGAGATAGGTCATGTCTATAGGGACTCGCTCCGATGTTTATACATTCTATACATTACTCTTACACTCGTTAAAATTTCTAGTCGGGATATCGACGCTAGGATCGAATTTGATCGATTAGAAAGCGAATATTCCCTCTTTCTCAATCGCAACGCGTTAGTACGAGCAAACAACAATTCTTATCGCCCGTCTTTTATTTTTTTACCTTATCCCTAACGATCGTGCGCGGCAGATAAGGTGAGAGCGGACCCGATGCAATCGCTGACGATCTGACACGGAATTGTTTTCACGCAAATTCGCAGCACATCTCGAGGTGTACCGCCATGATCTTGCGATTGTTGCGTGAATATTAACGCTGGAATCGATATTGATTTATCAGGAAGCAGAAAAGCCGCTTCCCAAGATGCATCACGCGATACAATTCATTAACGCGGCCGAGCTCCTTTCGCCCTGTGACATGAAATTACGCCGTCCATATCTCAACCCCCCTTTGTCTTCTTTTCGGTTTGATCTGCGGTCGGGCTAACTGTGCGTTGTCGCGGTTAAAATTACTGTGTGCTTCATTAAGATGCGCTCGCGTGACACGGTGAAATTGCGCTTAGCGTAATCAAGCTCGAACGGCGTAACGCGAGACCTCGCGCACAATTAGCCGATTGAAAATGGAATCCTAGGAATTCCCGACAATGTGCGGATATCACCGGCGGCAGTGTCGGATAGCCAATGACTTCCGAGGAACGCGGGACTGGGACGTTCCTGCAGGATGTCGCCGTAACAGCTGTGAATTGCTGTGCACGCGTACGCGCCGCACCGAGATGAGCGGTTTTTCTTTTTTCCGATGCGCAAAAAGTCGCTAGTCCGTTTACTCTGCGCGTCCGCTTGCGATCGCGCTCCTTCCGCCTCGTCCTCCGCGGAATCGAACTGTCGCGTTTTCCGGTTACGTCAAAATTACTCCGTCGCGGAAGTTGCTTTTTCGTGTGCTTTTTTCGCCGGAACTCCTTCGTCGTCTTCGCTATTCCGCCAGCCATTTCGGCCCGGCCGCCGGTGCGTACAAGCCCGCGATGTGGCGTTAAGGGGACTGGAGAGAGTCGGATTGCTGAAAAATCGCGCTTGTTTTTGATAATATTTTGCGACGAACTGAATAAATGTGCAAGAATGATAATTTTAGGTATATATTTACACACATATGAAGAGTAGAAAAATTTTGTTTACAACTAACAAATACTCATATAAATATATGATATAAATAGCTGAAATATACTCTCCTTTCTTTTTTTTCAAGTTGTCGTTTTTGCCGTAATATCTCGAGGAGGCTTATCGTTATCCGGTGAACCACTACAAAAAAATCGAACAAAATTAACAAAATGGCAGCTATTATTAGGAAAGAATCCAAATTTTTCAGTTCTTTTACAATTAATATCTCGAAATGAAATATTTTGACGTAATTGTCCATGGTTTATCCGAGAGCCAGATGAACAAATATTATTGCTTTAAAATTTCAAATCGATACGAAGCTCAGTTTCGGAGAAATCATTGCAGAAAGTTGAACAATAAAATTTCGAGAAAAACGTTTAAAATTTAAGTGGACGTATATTTATATGAGTATTTGTTAATAAACAAAATTTTTCTACTCTTCATATGTTATATAAATATATCTAAAATGTTCATTCTTGCACATTTATTCAGTTCGTCACAAAATATTATCAAAAACAGGCACGATTTTACAATAATCTGACCCTTCAGTCCCTTTAAGGCGGGAATTACATGCGAAAGGCCGTTTTTAAAGCTATTTTTACGAATGTTTTTAATAAAAACGGTAAGATCAATGGACTTGCAATGTTCGCAGTTCATTCATTAATGTTTAAAATATAAAATAAATGTTATTGAATTACAAGATCCGATCTAATTTGTAATTATAGATGCAGTCATTCGTTTGCGAGCTCTATGTTTGTTGTCGACATAATTCCGGGCTTCTCCCTACTTTGAAACTAAAAAATGAGAAAGATCTTTAAAATATATGAATGCCATTGTAGCCCATACTGAAATGAAGGCAGTGAAATCAAGTTTGGAAAAATAATGATTGTACATACAAAAAAAAATAACGAAAATGAAACTTATACCTATGCTTAAAAAAATGAATAAAATAAAATATAACTATGTTTGAAATAGGGGCGAAAATTACATGTCTACTGTACATTACGTACAAATTTCAAGCTACTCGATTTTGTTAGTTTTTGTGTAATCGTGTCGACAATTTAAGAAAATGATGTTTCCAGATGATAAACGCGTTTAAAATTTTATGTGTGCTTTCCATATAGATAGTAACAAATTTATTTTATACTTTGAACACTAATGAATACATTGTGAAAATTTCAGGTCCATTGATCCTAGCGTTTCTGTTCATAAGATTCGTAAAAGTAGCCTTGAAAACGGCTTGCTCCGCATGTAATTCTCCCCATAAGAAAGGACGAGAATTGGAAAAAAAGATTTATATCTTTTCACCTCGCCGGGGTTTGTTTCCCCGCGCTGCGAATATTGACGCGCGCGCGCGCGCGCGTTCCTCTCGGATTGCATAGGGAAGTTAACTCCCCCGACGATATTACTTTGTACCTCTATCCGAGAGTTTCTCGTTTGGGTGAGAGGAGAAAGGAGAAAGAAGAGAGAGAGAGAGAGAGAGAGGGAAAAAAAGCGAGAATAATCTAATTTAAACTCGAACTCGTCAGCGGAAAGGGTTGAGGCCGCGAAAATTAAGTCTTTATTTCGCGCAAGAGCGGGCTCGGTTCGGCTGAAGTTGCGACGCAGTTTGCCCACTCGGTCGTCGCTGCGACTGCCCTTTTTTTCCCCAGCAGGACGTATATCCTCCGCGGCAATCGCAATAACCGCGGCAAAGGGTGCGGGCGCTGTAATTTCGAGTCCCGACTTCAAAGCGCCATCGAGCTGGATTGTTCCGTCGGTGCAGTCCCGCTTGCCTTCGTTATTATATTAATCTCCGTCGTTGCGGACCTGTCCCCTTATACCTCACTCGTCTGTATAATTAACTTGTGTACTATATCCGGCGGAGGGTATTTGTAATCGTGGAGAATTCAATTCTTGAGACGTCCATTTCCTTCGCAAGACCAGTCCCGGAGCTCGCGCTCTCCCTCGCGACAGTTTTTCCTCGCCAAGCGCGTTTCCACGCGACGTCGAAGCGAAGACACCGACTCCGTCGACAAATGAAAACGGACTTGCCCTTTCTCCTTCGGCTCGCCCAGGCAGTTTACGTAACAGTCGCCTCGGTGCGGCGAGTAAATGCGAAAACGAACTCCGCGGGAAATGATGGAAAGCCCCGTCTGGGCGGTGCGCTTCGTTATACCGCAACGATCCGATGTATTCTCCCTCTCTCGCAATTACCATCGACCGCTATCGCAATGTGAGCGGGTCTTCTGAATGACGCGTTAGCACTCACTGTTGCAGACGGTGGTCGAGGTCTGCCAGAAGAAACGGCAGTGCAAGTTCAACACCAGCCCGAACACCTTCCAGGGCGACCCCTGCCCCGGTTTGCGCAAGTACATCGAGGTTGCCTACAAATGCCGTCCCTGTAAGTACTCTTATCTATAAACGTACGCGCGCGTGTGCGCGCACACACACACACGCGCGCCGGCACGAATGCATACACGAACGTGCGCGAGCAGACGCGAGATCGAACTTCCTCCTCCGAAGAGATCGTTTTTCTTTGAGACATCCGCGATTCCTTTCTATGCGGACGTCGAGCATTAGTTCGGTTCGTCGCTCGCATAAAACCCGGCTATATCGGGGAAATTCCCCGCGCGCGACACGCGTGCATCGACGAATTGACGAGGAACTCGCGAGAATTTCTCTCAGACGCGACGTGATCCTACGAACTCGGGCTGATTTTCATGGCTGCGCACGGGCGGGAATATTTATGGCGGGTGAGAACGTAATCGCGCGCCGAGATGAAGCGAACCCGAGTGAAATCGAACTTCGGGACTTCGTATCAGTGCGATTCCAATGGGCTCGGATCTCCTCGAGGATCTTTGCGATCCCTTACGGAGGACGTGGTCCTTACGTGCGCGCAGATATCTTTGCCCGATATACCGCGAGCTCAGCGCGTTTTGGTTGGAATTTTAACTTTACGAGCTTCGACTGCCGCGAGTCGATCTCCGCCGATTACCTCGATGCTCCGCTCGAGATCGCAGCCGCTAAAAATGCCTGTTGGCTACAACAGAAGCATCGGGAGTTGAACTTACCTGGAAAGTCTGCGATCGGGCTGGATTTTTTATTTCCGCCGTCCAGCCGACAAACAGGGTCCGAGCTTGATCGATTTTCACTGTCAGCACCGTCTTCCCGAGCAAAAAATTCTTAGGGCCATTCTCATGAAGCATAAGGCCCCGATGAGGCTGAAAATAGGACGCCCTGAAAAAGGATGCCTCATTATTACCACATCAGGCCCCGAGATGAATCTTTTAGGGATGCCTTAGATTTTACGAGATAAGACTTTGGTAAGGAAAACTGACAAGGGCCTCAGAAGGATTTTTTAGAGATGCCCTAGATTTGATAAATAAGGTTTTGATAGGGAAAATTGATAAGGGCCTTGGAAGGATCTTTTTGGGATGCCTTAGATATACAAAATCAAGTTTTGTTATAGAAAATTAATAAGATCTGAAGCGTGTGATAAAATTGTCTTTAGTTTAGCATTCTTTTAGCAAGTACGCTCTGTCTGGTTATTTCAAAGGTTTTTTTTAATTATACCGCAATTAAAAACAAATTTTATCAGTTTTATCAGTTGTTACATTCATTAGTCTCTGCCAAGGATTTTTCTAATACTGCCCTCGTTTTGAAATGTAACAAACTTTAATAAAAGCAGTAGCAGGGTTTTTATGTGTAAAGAATGCTATATTTTATTATAAAGTATGCTATGTCTTCAAAATAAAAAATTCTTGTACATTAACAAGGTTATATAAAGAAATACTAGTAAGGAAATTACAGTCTAAATTTCTTGGACGAAAAGAGCGAATATTTTTACTCAAGCAATAATAAAAATATTTCCTTATGAGGCCCTATTAATATTACCTTACAAAGCTCTGTTGATATTGCCTTATAAGACATCTACGAGTTCTCTAAAGCGAGAGCGAATGTCTCGACGGGGAACCGACGGAGTCCCGCCAGCCGGGGACAGCCGGTGAGAATTCAGCCTCTTAAATGGCGAGACAACGCCCCGCGGATTGCGCTGCATTTGTTACACTATGTACTCAGCAGCCGACAACAAAAGCTCGCGTCTCAGCCGCGCGCGCGGCATCTCTATACGCGCGCCTCCGCATAGAGCAATGACGGCAACCTGTTGCGGTAACAAGGTTCGAGTAATTTTTGCCAGGCGGTATAGTAACTCCATCGCGGCGCGTTTTACATTCTCGAGGTCCGCGATGGCTCCTGCGCAAGCCGCAGTCATCTCATTGTTTACCGCACGCGCGCACACACACACACACATACACACACGCACGCACGCACGGTAAATCCAGGTGGCTTTTTCGAGGGCGCCGTTGGCGGCGTTAAATCACTCTCGCGAACAAAGGTGTGTCACAGTTTTGCCGGCTGAAAAAGACTACAATTCAGACGCAAGAAATACGGCCTGGTAACCGGTTCGCTTTAGCACGATAGCGCGAAACTTTCGGGCGCGACGCGCGGAATGCTGAACAGCAAACCGCTCCAATCTGCGTCCTCCCGCCATTTTTTTTTTTTTTTTTCCCCTCCCGCGTTGTTTTCCCTTTTCATCTGATCCGGCGACTTTGGGGCCTTCCGACGCGACGCGTGGATCAGAGAATATATTATGAAATTTATCTGTAACTCGAGTTGGGCCGGGCCGGGGGGAGGGAGGGGGCGGGGGCAACGAGATACCCGTTTTTATTTTAATACAGCTTGCTCGCTGTTTGTGCGTCGAGCGGGGCTCTCCGTATCGCAGATTTCATCCGTCGCGTTATGTATATATGTTTAAATATATCAGCTATTTTTTTTTCCTCCTCCAAAAAGCATCCGCGCAAGAGATAAATCCGATAACATTGCCGGGGGTTGTAAATATATTATTTCCTAAATTCCGTTTCCATTTAATGGCGTGTCGTTAACAAGACTCGAACAAGATAAAAGTGCGTGTGTTTCAATTTACGAGAAGTGTCATATTTTATACATGGGCTTCGTCCCGCGAGCGTGGAAACGTCTCTCTCTCTCTCTCTCTCTCTCTCTCTCTCTCTCTCTCTCTTTTGCTTCCTTTTTTTTTAATTTTTTGCCCCAAGCTAAAATCATAAAATCGAAACTGCTACGTACTAAACCGTGGTGGACCCATTTCCGAAATGACTCGTGCAGCATTTTTCACAGCCGATAGTTATCGAATTTTTATCGACGTACGGAGGTGCATCAATCGTAAATTGATGGCTATCCATGCTTAACGTCTGGACATGCCAATTGTTTACGTTACTTTGAATCCAGTCGTTAAAGACGTCCCGATTATTCCGTAAACTCGTGCAATATCTGCGTTCCGCTTTTCAAATCTATTCGCTCGAATGGGTAAATATTTTAAAGGGGAAAATGGAAGGAAAGGGGGATCGCAGAGATCAGTAGCGTGCGCACGCGGTAGTTTGCAGCAAGAGTAGTAGCTTTATTTCTCTTGAAGAGAGAAACTACGTCCCACGATAAGCTAATCTAGGCTTTACTAGATGGCAGTCTGTCGGAACAAATCGACAGTAAACCCACGTATATTTCCAATTCTTATGCAAGACGCAGTATATTTTTTATATCGTCCATTTCGTCGCTCGAATCTTGAGACGATTCGCCCTCAAATTCGCTCTCAAAGCCATAGACAGAGACATAAAAAATTAACGTAACTGAACGCACGACGAGAGATTATCGTGAAGGAGAGGTAGGCAAAAGCGCCGCCGAGTGTATCGGCGGATCGTTAGAAACGCAACGGCAAGTACAAGACAATTTTTGCTCGACAAGCCTCGCAATCAGCCCGCCGGATTGTTTCCCGAGTAACAGCAGCGAGAGGAGGCAATGCGAAACACTTCGAGCAGATACAGGGAAAAGTTCGGCGAACGAGAGAGAGTACATATTACGGCGAGCGAGGTTGAGAAGTTTTCCCGGCGTATTTGCGCCGGTAATACGAAAGACAATGGCTTTGAGTACAGCTTAGGGGGCGCTTGCCTCGAGACCTCGCCGGAATAATCTTTAATATCTATAAAAAGATCGCGAGATACAACACGAAGGGAATACGCGAGCGCGTCTTAGCATCGGCAATGATCTATCCGGCGGGCGGCGGGCGCGCGAGGGAGAGAAATTAACAGCGGGCATTTTACTTAACGAGGCGAGGCGAAGCGAGTACTGTTAGTCTAATGAGGCCTTCGAACGAGCGCTCGTACGCTGGATAAATAGACAGATAGATTTATTTAATAAATTAACTTTGGCTTATGTAACCTCTTTGAGTATACAATGGCTGCCTCCCGATATTTCCCGCCGGCTACTGAAACTCTGGAACGTACGTGATGCAAGCTATGGATTTTCGGTAGCCGCGGTGAATATCGAAAGGCAGCCGATGAAAGAGGTACAAAAGGACGAGATCAGAGGCGAGTCGCTGAATGAACGTACGGAGGAGAATTTGAAACGCGATCCGTAACGAGGAGAGAGGAGAACGATGGCCGCGCGTTGTAATTGCAGCGTCACACAAGGTCGATGGAGAAGGGAAAGTGATACGGAAGTGCAAGAAGAAAAATGAAGAAGGCAAAGTCGAGCGTATTAACGGGACAATGTCACGTGCGAGGACGCGCACACATCCGAGATAAAACACGGCGTTTATCGTGCAAGCATGCTCCTCTTGAAATCAATTGGACTCGCGGCAGTAGTAAAGTCGCCCACAGGCCGGACAGAAGTAGCGCAGGTCGACCGATCGTAGACCGCGTTAATATTTGCCGCATTAATTGACATGAATATTGATCGTTGATCAATTATTCGCATGATAAATTATTATAATATCAATCGTTGGAACGAATTGTTTAAGCATATTAATGTTAATTCACCAACTAACGTAAACACGATATTATCGATATTCCGGATCGATCCGCGTGAGATGGGGAAGAAATAGAAAGTCTGAAATTGCTCCATGCGTAGCCGCTTCGTTAAACGGCAAATTATACGGTGCAATTTCTGTGTGTCGCGTCTCACTCCGAGCAAAAAATTGTTAAGGCCATGAAACATAAAGCCCCGATAAGGCCCCAAAAGTAGGGGATGCCTTAAAAAGGCAAATGACCCATTATCACCACATCAGGCCCCGAGATGGATCTTTTAGGGATGCTTTAGAACTAGTAAATAAGGCTTTGATAGAGGGAAAATTGATAAGGGTCTTTTAAAAATCTAAGGCGTCCCTAAAAAAATTTTTTAGAGACGCCTTAGATTTTACGAAATAACGCTTTAACATGGAAAACTGATGTGGGCCTTCGAAGGATTTTTTAAGGATGCGTTAGATGCGCAAAATCAAGTTTTGTTATAGAAAATTAATAGGATCTGAAGCGGATCTGTAATAAAATTGTTATAGTT